CCCATCTGGTATATTCTACCACTCTGGGCGGCTTACAGCGTTTAATTTATTTTTTTCTCCCTTATTTACCTATCTTTTTTTTATTTTTTGGTATGTTTTGTTAATAGCTGACGTTTATGGATTAATGTATATATGTTGTTGTTAGCCGCTGAGAGTGGTATAAATATACCAGATGGGCGGGATATAAATCAAATAAATAAATAAATTAAAATATCACGAGAGGATTACAATACAATCAATAACAAATAAAGTGCAGAAATATAGTAAAAATAAGCAGCAAAAAGAGAAGGGAGTCTCTGTTATACTCTGTTTTTGGAAGGCCCAGGTGTGCCTCCTCTGTAGGACTACAATTAGAGGCGGGGTTCACATCTGTAGAGTGGAGAACTTGGTCTCTTGCCTTTCAGTATTGGTTAAAAGTTGTGTATACTGACCCTTCCTTGGGTTACCTTTACGTCTTGCAGAAAGATGTTTTTATTAGTTCTTGGGTTAAGGGATTTTCAGCAAAATTATACTTACTAGACTTTTCTATGGACTTTCTCTACTATAAAATCCATTCTAGAACAAAGAATCAAAGATGTGGACTTGCAATATTCCCCATCAAAGATCCATGGATCTTGTTCACCAATACATCATGGCCTAAAATTTCCAAAGCATACTGTCCCCAAACACTGGCATGCTTTCTCCGGGGCCAGATTCAATTGTCTCCCTTACACAATGTTGGAAGGATGCTCTCACAGTACCCCCTATGATGGTTGGCTGTGTGCCTGTGGAGATGAAGTAGTTGAGTGTTTGACCCAAATCTTGTTTGAATGTAGCCTCCAAAGAGATGATTGTAACAGACTTCTCTGTCCTCTTGTGAGAAAATGCCCTGGAAGTCCGTTCACAGGGTATTTGGAGTATTTGTTGGCAGGTACAAACCAAACAGTTACAAAGCTAAGTTCTTGTTTTCTGTCATATGATCTCATAAAAAGGCCTTATTAATCTAAATGATGACTTTTTCTATATATGTGCATGTTTTAATAATTTTTTTTCACTGGCCCCCCACAAGCGGAGCGTCAACATGACCGAATGCGTCCCGGTGCCCAGCTCGGAGCACGTGGCGGAGATCGTGGGCCGGCAAGGTAAAAGAAAAGAAAGAGAACCCCCCCCCCGCTAAAAAAAAAGGAAAATAAAACTGGGGGGGAGAGAGAGGGCAGCGGACGACAGCCGGCGGCTCTCCGGGGGTCCTGGGTTCGAATTCTCCGCCCGGCCGTGGGAACTCCCTACGGGGAGAGCATCCCTGTTCTTGAGCTTCTCGGGGACCTCCGTAGGGTGCAATTTTTTGGGGGGGGAGGACACGCGTGACACCCCACCAGGACGGGATGTGTGTGGAGGCGCTGCCAAACCCTGCACCCCAAATTCCCTTTAAAAAGGGTGTGTAAGGATGTGATTTCTATTGTCTTCAGGCTAGAGAATACCTGGGCTATATTTCTTCTATAAATGACATTTCCCTCCAGGGTTTGTTCTTTTGGGGTGGGGTGGGAGGAGCTTTTAAAAGGGGTCCCCTAGCCACCCCCGTTTTTATTCAACTTTCTTATTTTAAGGGACCTTTAGGATCTTCTTTGGACAGTTGTTGAGAATTAAGATGCTCAGGTGGACCGTTTTGGGGAGAAAGAGCAGAGTTGGCTTTTGGCTTTTAAAAAAGCATACTTTTAGGGGGGGGGAGAATCTCACACCCATCAGTTTTGCCTAATAAAAAAACCATCCACAAACCCCCATAAAGATTAAGGCAGACAGATTTTAAAAAACCTCACCCCTCATCTTTCCGAGCTCATGAATCGCGAAATCTGGTTTTCCTTGTTTTAAAAAAAGTGTTGCTTTCTCTTTTTAAGGGTATTTAAAAGCCCCAGCTGCTGTAAGGTGGTGCTGGGCCTGTTCCAGGTTTTTATTTTATTCCCCCCCCCCTTTTTGGGGGGTGACTTTTAAAATCTCTTTGTCCTTTTGTTTCCGGAAGCTGTGGAGTTGAGCGAGAGGAAGGCTGCCAGCCCGTTCCAGCTTGCCAGCGAGAAAGGGGCTAAAAAGGGGAAGAAATAAAACCAGACATTTATAAATAAATACTAATCAATTTTCCATCTACAGTACATCCATCAGGTTGAGGGGGGGAGGAGAGAGAGAGAGAGAGAGAGAAACTGCATTTATAAACACAATTTCTTTATACATGATGGTTCCTCTGTTTTTGTTTTGGAAACCAATTTTTTTGGGGGGACGGATTGCATGCCTGCATGAAGATAAAACGGGTGTGGATTAGACCTCCATACAGTACAAGGACTTTGGGGGGGGTTGAAGTGAATCCCCTTTTTTCTTTCCTCTGGCTGCCTTCTGTGATTTTTGCTGACTTGGCATGTTGTATCCTGTCTGGTGGTGGTGGTGGTGGTGGTGGTGGTGGTGGTGGTGGTTGTTGTTGTTGTTATTGTTATTGTTATTATTATTGTCTCTCTTTCCCAAACATGGGTCAACAATGACTCTGTTTCTCATCCCAGGTGCAGGTTCCTTACACAGGGCAAAAAAAGGGAGAAAATCATTAGCTTCTCTAAGAACAATGGCTCAATTTTCAGCCTCCCCTGCCTGGGTGTATTGTCCTTTCCACCCCACAACAACTTAACCCCATGGAAACCTCTGGTTTTCCAAAACGGAGGTACCCAGGCATGCTTTGGGGGGAAAAAATTCAAAATTTCAGCTACCCACACCGGATCGCACACACCCCTTCCCGCACACCCGGGAGAAATATTTTTAACCCAGCTTCCATTTCATTCTGGTATTTTTTAAGAGGCCCGGGGTTACACAGCCGTCTCTGGGTGCCTGGGTTTTAAAGCCAGCTCCTGGAGGGTGTTCTTTTATTTTTAAAATCCCCCTTTCTTTCCCAAAAAAATGCACTTTGTCTTTCTGTCTTACACACACACACACACAAACACCCGCACACACCAGTTTGCAAAATGGGGCTGGGTGCCTCGGGCCCATTGTTCGCTTTGTTAGCTCAAACTAGGCTGTGCTGGGGTGGTGACATCACACTTCTGGTTTCCCATTGGCTCGTTCTGGGAGCACCCGCCTTTCCCCTCCACTTTGTCCTGAAGCCACACCCATTTTCCCCCTCCTCTTGGACCCTGCCTCTCCCCCTTCCAACTTTTTGGCCCCG